TGTCTGAATGTAAACAGATCCCTATTTTAAAAGTTAATCCAACGCGATATACTATCCTGTCATATTTAAAGGGTGCAGTGGGAACTCATCCTCATAGCCAACTAGTTCTTATGGGTAACTCATTCAAGTCCATGATTGATTGCTTTGTTACCATAGCAAAATGACTGAATGAAAAATTAAATTAAATGTACCAGAACTCCCCAAAATAACCTGAAAGTTACCTCAAACTCTAACACTGAACAAATTTAAACTGCTATGACAATCTACAAAGATATATGTCTCCACGCTCTAGAATACCAAAATAGAACACAGCTTTGATGACTACAACGTGGAGTACACTTTTTGGTTCTAAATCTAGATTATTGTGAATTCTATTTTTTTGTGGTTCACTAGTACAGTGCCAGGCCACAGAGAAATTTAATACTAAAAGAATGCTTTTCTATTAGTTCTAGCGTGGTTAATTAATCATTAATTACTGCCATAAAGCAGTAACTTGAAACAGTGACTTTCCATCCACAAAAAATAAATAAAAATTATTTATTCTGTAACTGAGCTCCACTAGGAAAGCAAAGGAGAAAAAAAATCAAACATTATTAATTCACTGGTCTCCTCTCCACAATGAACGACAGAAAAAAAAAAAATCTGACACTTGTGGAATGTCACTTGTTCAACATTCCAGAGATTTATATACACACTTGAGTGTGCTAAAAATAAAAAAGACAAAAGTCTCAATTTAATGACCTTCAGAATGTCGTTCAACTGGATTCAAAAGGGTGGATTATGAAGACTTAGTCTGGTGAACAAAAGATGTTTTTCTGTTTTCATAGTTTCTTAACACAAAGATCTTTAGAAAATTTAATAAAACCATCTCCTCGAATTTAAGCATTTTCTATAAGTGTTAACTCCTTGATTCCTAATTTCTTATTTATTCACTAAAAGCCGTGTGGGAAGGAAGGCTTTCTCTTTGCATGGCCACTTTAGTTTTCCTTAATGACTAGCTAAGAGGCTAGACAAGAATTGAACAGGCTTATAAGAAATGAGAGTTCCAAATTAACTATTCTAGCTGTTCCTTATTAACCAGGTATTTCTAAATTCTATTAAAGGTGGCATACTTACAATGCATAGAAGAAGTAACAACTGAAACATTACTAATAGGAACATATTCTGGCACAATATAAGTCAAGAAACCTGTGGCAGTTGACCCCTAGCTTGGCAGTGACTTTCCAACAGTTAACTTGGATCTTAAAATATAACCTTCCATTGACATTAAATGTTGAAGACCAATATGAGACAGGGCAACGTAGAGAGAAAATGTCAGGGAAGGCTAACATTCCTGGTCCTTGTTAGAGGAAGAGTGTCATACATCCCGCCTCCACCCATTTGAGTCACTGGGGACTTTGTCCAGATCATTCCACTTACCTGTTTACTTCACTGATTAGTTTTGTATTACAGTGTTAGTAATATCAAGAGCACTTTTTAAAAAGACAGTTTCTGGGATGGATAATACCCTCAATTAAGTCAGCCAGAGGAAGTAAGGGACTGAGGTAAAGAAAACAGCCGGATAAATATTGTCTCCCTGTAATGAGTTGACTCATCCCTCATCAGAAGGTTCCAGAGCTATTACTTAGAAAAAACAAATGCACAGTGGACTGGAGCCCCTCTCCACTCCTGAGCCTCCTAGAACAGGTACAAACTCAGAAATAACCATGGGGACAAACCAACACTCTGGATAATATACAAAACAACCCTCTAAAAAGTGTATCACTAGAGAAAAAGGCTGTTTTATCTGTCAACTGTTAAAACGACATCAGTCCTAAGCACTGGGATATGGAGAAAAAATGCAGTTTGGGCAAATACTGACCATCCATAAACAATTATTTTCATATACAATTAAAGGAAGACCTTCTAGGAAGAAAAATAGGTTTCAGAAAATTTAAATTTCTGTGACATTTAAATATATCTAAAGGAATGGGGCATAGTCTTATGTCAAATAAAATACAAGTATCATGCAAGAGAAATACTGTTCTCTTTTACAAATAAAACTTCTTTGTATAGTAAGTGTTCTTCAATTATATATGTTTCTAAAGGCAATACTGACTTCAGGTGACTGGCTCTATTCATGAATGAGCTAACATGACAACCTCCCAGATTCCTCTGAGCACAAGGGACCAGTTCCTCCTCTTGCATCCCCATATCCCATCCCTCTAACCCCATGTAACATTACACAGCACCTTGGCAAGCCTTCTCTCAGGCCATGGCAGGAACCTGGTGCTGTGCTCTGACAGCCCTCAAAGGTCTGCTATTGGGTGAGATTAAAACCAGAACAGAAAATGCTGAGTCATTTGGTACCCCCCACGGTAGATTGCTCTCACAATTCGGCCTGCAAACCTCTCCTTCAGCTCATCGTTCCAGTTGTAGCCTACTTCCTTTTCCTCTCTTCCCCAAAACACTCCTCCAAGGGAGTTCAGTTGCACAACAACAGATGCGAGAAAGGGGCTCTGTTCCAAACCCTTGTCGCCGGTGAATGTGACATGACCTGTAATGAAACTCAGAAGTGAGACTCAGAACTGCCCTTGAAGCTCAATGTGATGTCCAGCTCAGTTATAGGTTTTTATCAGAATTTGATGCTCGGTCTGTTAGTCTCCGGAAATTAGTTTCAAATGCCAAACCTCACTTCCCCTCTTATCAGGAAGCTCCTCAGCAGAAGTGCAAAATGTAGGGACATCTTTTGACTTCCTATTTCCAAAGATTTTCCAAATGCACCAGAGAGACTGACATCAAAGAGCACATCAATCCACTGAGAGTGAACTTTTAAACTATAAATTATTTGGTTAGTCATTCACACATACATTCCTAATATCTTTCTGTCAGCCATGTTTTTTAAATATATATACCCCCACAGTAGTCAAACTTTTCCTATTGGTAACTAAAATTTTTAAAGATATAACTAAGAGATTACCCATTTCCTTACAATATTCGTTTTACCCATTATTTGACATTTTCTCATTTGCCCAGTTTTCTTCTAGATGCCAACTTTGCTCAACAAGCATTTGAATGCTTCCAAAAGATTCTAGACAGTGATCAGCCACAGAGCAGCCAGACAGTGATGGTGCTATGCACACACAGGACTATTCTCCCAATGCAAACAGCACCTCCTAGCACCGAGCAAGCTACCTGGCATTTAGCAGGTGCTTTAAAAATACTGGCTAAAGTCCACTAACTTTAAATGCAGAATTTTTTCTGTTAATAATTCAAAACCTCTATCTTCTTTATAGAAATAACTTTACTAAAAACCTTACCGTTGGTTTCATTCAAATGCTAGAAATGATTTTTTGCTTCTCCCAACAAGGACACCTCATTTTTCTGTTGGCAGACAGGGGAACTTCAGTGTTCTCTCCTAATTGTCAAATGTTGATCAAGAGAGTAAACTCTTTATCAGATATATTAACTGGACTGGTTATCTTTTTTTTATCATGTAAACTGCTTTTTACTTTATTATATTGTCCACAGAAATAATATACATCTATAGCATAAATTTTCGTGACCTGCGTATAGTCCCTTCTGTGGATGAATCAGAATGTACATTAAAATGTCCTATAACTGTTGGACTGATTATCTTAAATTCCTTACTAAGATTTTAAGTTAATTACTTCCAGCTAAATTTTTAAGCTGTAATATTTTTAAAATAATATTGTTGGGGGAGGCCCTGGCTGGTGTGACTCAGTTGGCAGGAGCATCATCCCATGCACCAAAAGGTAGCAGGCCCTGGTTAGAGTGTTGGTCCTCAGACCAAAGGGTCACGGGTTTGATTCCCAGTCAAGGGCACAGATCCCCCTCGATGTTTCTTTCTCTCTCCCTCTCTCTCTTTTCTTCCCATTCTCCCTTCCTTCCTCCTTTTACCTGGAATTAATAAAAAAAAATAATAACAACAACAACATTGTGGGTAGAGATGGAAGATGAATGAAAGATAAATGGTGAAGGGAAAAAATAATAAAATAACAGTAGTTAGTGATCACATTCCCATGGATAAAGTAACAAGCAGATTAATTTTAAATTTCAAAGTGTAAAAGCATTCAGTATACATATTTATGATAATTTTTAAGACAAGTAGTAAAATTAATTGAAGTTCAATTGGTAGAATTCCTGTGGTAGTAATTCTGGATACTGCTGGATTACTTAGCACACAAATACATAGTTACTACATGCTAAAATGGGAAAACGGGCGAAACAGCACCAAGTCAGTACCAATAAAATTTATAATCATCACTTTATTATGACTGCACTTCCTTATCTTGCCTCACTGTTATGCCTGAAGCATCCATCCTGTAGTGAATCCAGCAAAACTTTAGGCATCTTACAG